CATCCTAGAACCAGGACTGAAGACGCGCACGAACGTAGTTGTCTTACTGCTCGCAGAGTATTGAAGCGAGCTATTTTCATCTCGCGCACGTCTGGTGAGAGAAGCGTCCTGCGGCCGGTCTCGCCCATGACTTAAATGTTAGCTGGCCCGGAACTCGTCTATTTTCTGGTTATCGTTGCCTATGTCAATTTGCTACTTGTACCCGGACACGTAAAACTCCCTGCCTGCGCCGTAGTTCTCTTTCCAGTCTTTGCAGAGCACACAACTCTCGCCTCAGCGCCCTTTGCAAGCCTGCACAAGTAATGGCCGTAATCTTCTTCCGCATCATGGTGACAGGATTTTGACTGTCCGTCCCATGGCAACCTCGAAAAGACGCGCCAGATGTCCGAAACGCCCCAAACAAACGATAAACCCACTTACCGCCACAATTACTTTCTCTCTAACGCCGCGCAGTTTACCCACCCCAAGCGTACCGATCACTGCTGGCCTCAATGCCTTCTCCTGGCAGTCCGTCTTGGTAAAGCGGTTCACCGACTGCCGATTATGTGTGCCTCTGTAAGCCCTCCGTAGCATCTATGGACCACTAATGCGTGAGCTCGTGAATTTCAGATTCCCTGCTTACAGCTTCACAGGACTTCAGTTGTCCGCCGTTTCAGCTCGATCAACAGCGTTCGACGAATCTCGATATGAAGTCGTTTTCGTCTCTCCGCGTCGTTACTCTTTGCTAAACTCGCCCAGGTTTTGGATATAGCTTCAAGATTATGCTTCCCCGGTGCCCCGGCTGCTGCAGATTTCCTGCAATAAACTCCCAAATAAGCAGCAGGTATCCTGCTGCATTGCCTCCTCACCTTTGGCGACGTTCTCACCAGCATCTTTCAGAGATGGAGTCGCCCTGTGATCTGCCTTCGAATTCAGCATAGGAAGGCCTCCGTTCATTTGGCCTTAACCAATAACGAGGTTCGGGGCGATTAAGAGTGCGGCTTCGGCCGTGTCTTTAGAAGATTTTCCCCTGCCCAC